ACGTCCCCAAATCCCCACGTCCCCAATTTCCCTACGTCCCCAAATCCCTACGTCCCCAAATCTCCACGTCCTCAAATCCCCACGTCCCCAAATCCCACATCCCCAAATACCCAACTACAAAAATTACACTTACCCTTGAACTCCAAATCAAAGCGTCCATACAGCATAGTACGTTAACTTAAGCCATCACTAAGAACATTAAACAACTCCAATATTATTCTATGTACCTCAACATTTACCTAAAATCATATTTAATTCAGGTCATACAAAGCAGCATCACCATCAGATCTCTATCACCACCTCCAAGCTTCTCTGGACAAGTCCGGTCAACAAAATGGCGTCCACGTCGAGCGCATAATGGACTCCTGGACCAACAAGCCGGGCTTTCCTTTGGTAACCGTTACTCGGGACTACAAGAAAGCATGGATAACAGTAGAACAACAACCATTTCAACGATATTTCTTGAGATCAAACCAGACGGACGAGTGGTGGATACCATTGAACTACGTCTCGAAAACGTTTATTGACTTTTCAAAGACGACAGCTCAACATTGGTTGAGTCCTAAGAATACGTTTACGATGATGACTTATATTCCTGCGAGTGATTGGGTTATTTTCAATGTCCAACAAATGGGGTACTATCGAGTGAATTATGATGAACGTAACTGGAGAATGATTATTGATTATTTGAAATCTAAGGATTATGCGAAGATTCACAGAGTCAATAGAGCTGCGTTGGTAGACGACGCCTTTAATTTGGCGAGAGAAGGTTATCTTAATTATTCGATCGCTTTTGATCTTGCGGGGTACTTGCAGCAGGAGATTGATTATGAACCTTGGGTGGCGGCGGTGAATAGCTTTAAGTTTTTGAATAGGATGTTATATGGTTCGCCGGATGTGCAAGGGGCTTTCCAGGTGAGTGTCGTTGTGAGATATTTTAATAGAAGCGAGAGAATTGAGTTTTGGGTTGGTAGATGACAGATAATTGACAGTGCGACAAGTGACTGCTAGATAATTGACTGTGCAATAACTAGCTGTCAGTTAATTGTTTGCTACAGGATATAATTTTTAAAGTTTAAAACCAAGAAATTTAAGAAGTATATAATTAAAAACGTAGGAATTCGTAAAATTGAAAATAGGACGTAACCATTAGCATACCAAAAGTAACATTAGAAAGGAAGACTAATTAACCTAGAGTTATTCGATAAGAAAGATAATCGTTGCTTCACATTAACAGGGATACGTCGGTCGTTTATTGCTGCCGATGTATGAGAAATTGGGTTTCAACGAATCCCTAAACGAGGACATAACTGACAAATTATCTCGGGAGCTGATATTATCTGCTTCCTGTTTACTACGCAATTCTGATTGCCTGAAGACTGCCACAAGTCTGTTCCGGAAGTGGTTTCCTTCATCTTTAACGCAGTAATTTTCAATTTAAATGCAGAATATTTTTATTGTTAATAATCCGAACATTGAGGAATTAGTTTATTTTTTTTCTTTCATCGCAGTATACCGAAAGATACGAAGAGTTTCGTTTACTGCGAAGGTGTACGAGCTGGCAACCATGAAGTTTGGTACCAGATGCTGAACTTGTGGAAAGCAACCGACTTGCATACGGAGCAGGAATTACTATTGCAAGCTCTTGGCTGTACTACAAACGCTACCTTAATAAACCAGTAAGTTTTATTTTGGAAGGGCATAGTTTACATAGACTTCGATAATCCACATGTCTTCAAATTTTAGATAGCCCTTGATAAGTGTCCACATGCAAGTTTATGTTCCATTCGAAAGAGATTTTAGATAGCTGCTCTCGGTAACTGTCCACACGATACCTTCAAATTTTAGACAGCTTCAGATGTCGACAATCGACATACAGATAACCCACGAGATGCCGCGTGACCCAAAGTAAAAGAAGCTCCTCACCGTGAACACTTCCAGTTACATTTCGGCGCATAAGAATAATAATGACAACAACTGCTGAAGGCAATGGCTATCTCGCTCACTCGAGAGACGTTTGCCGACTCTCATTGTTTTTCGCCTAATCGGTGCGCGTGACCGGCGAGAGCCAATTGTTCCGCCGAAAATACGTGTGAGGCGTCCATTTTTCTATTCTGACTAGCTCTTCTAAACACGTCGGCTTCGCGCGCCAACTCGTGGGTTGACATCGGTATTGTACTTTTGGG